CGTACAAGGCGACGCTGAAGAAGATCCCCGCGACGCGACTGTCGCGGCTGACTGAGGCGCTCGCTAACTACGACCCCGTACTCAACGAATACTTCTTCGATAGACATCCTGGAGTATTCGCACAAGTACTTAATTATTACAGGTAAATACTTTATAACAATAATAATATTATTAGTATTATTGCGATCTTTTAAATCTGTTGAAAAAACATTTTCTAAGACCACTTTGGAGTAATTAATCAAGTTCTCAATAAAACCACTACGCTCCCTTCACGCGGCGAAACGACATCTCGAAATGCAACGAGAAATAAATAAAAACGACAACTTTCTTTTAAAAGTTTTATCAATAGTGAACCAAGAACCCCGTCTAAATTGTGAAATCGTCATAGTCTTTTTGCTGCTGCGTCTTTTGCTTCGTTGTTGGAAATAATGTAAGCTTCTTTTAATGGTAAAGTGAAAAGTTCTTAGTGCACGCCAGGTTCGCGTGCTCAATAAGTACGCCTTTGACCGCCACCACGAAGTCTTTCCTACAGTACTCAACTATTACGCGGCCCCGTGACTCACAGAGATAATTGGAACGAGACCTCTCTAGTAAATGTTGAATACTTCTTACATGTCATTTTGTACATCAAGGAAATGAAATGGCAGATTAGAAAAATATTAATCTCAGACTCCACTCTTCATAGTTGTTTAATAAAGTTGATTTCACGGAGATAAGACGCATATTAGGGGAAATGTCCTCTTTCTGTGTGTCAGTCCTCTATTGATTGTAGATGGGAAACGCATATCCAAATTTGTATGTCTAGTAGCAATCGTTTCGCTATTTTGGCGAATTCTGGTGACCACTTACTCTTTTATCAACTTATAGTTACTATAAAAATACATTAGATGAAAATATATCGTTTCTTTGTCGTTAGATATTTCAAAGAATACTTAATTTTTTCATATAAAACAAAATTAATATCTAATTTCTTCTCTAAGCACTGTATCAAATCTAAAATAATATTTCTAAGAATATTTCAACCATAATTTGTGTATCACATTACGTCGAATGAAAGATGAAATCTAATTCTTATAAAATACTCGACGAAAATCTCTCGCTTTTCTCCGTCGGTCCTCATTTAAATTACATTATTAACTCAGTTTCTTTGGACGAAGAAAAACTGGTCTTCAGTTCGCATATTTCCAAGTTTTATTTTTACTTTTAATACAAGAAACAAAGAGCAAATAATATTAAACAGACTTTTTTCGTAGGAAACTAACAACCTAGAGGATTCTGAAGAAGTTACCAATATTGTGAATATATCTTGTCGTACCGTCTTATATGTTTGGTTTCATATACATACATTCTCGAGAAATACAAAACACAGATACTAGACATCAAAAACTTTATTACATGCAGAAAGCTACAATAATCAAAACTTTGCGAATACCACTTAAATATTCGGTTAATATTTTCATAATGTTATCCACGATCCGGCTTAGACATTAAAAAATACCGTAGCATAAAAACAATAGAATACTTTCTTTTATTTGTTCTCTATGCTCACCAGTACTACAATGAAACTCCAAACATCAACGCATCAATGCGTGTAATAGACATCCAAGCCTATTTCATTCTGATTACAAACGTATTTCCTGTTCGGAGCGAAGTAGTACGCTATTATTTCTGGTCTTGTACACATAAAGGCGCAAATTGATTTCCATTGATAAGGGCCAGACAATTTGTGGAAGTTTGCCGTAGTAATTCGGGTCAAGTCCTTATGTGCTAAGATTGATTGGACCGTCGGAGCAATCTCTGTAATATTGATTTATATAGCTGCTTAAAAGTTATAGTATATTGAACACGCATTATTAGGTATTGGGTTTAATGAAATTCCTTAAGCCCGCAAGTAATATTTAGATATCAAATTTCTATATAGTTAAATATCGACCATCTAGTTTGAATAAAGATAAGTTCGGTGACCTTTAAATGTATAAATTTAGATTGAAATAATTTACGTAACCAAGGTTAATGTCTACCTCTGGGGTTGCTCTGGTGTTGCGGATGTTCATGAGCGTCGTTGACCACCGGTGTTCACGCCGCTTGTTTGCCCCCTTTTAGCATAAAAAAAAACTTGTAATTATAATATTAAAAATGTTTTTAACGTGTCCAGGACGGGGAAGCTGCACTATCCGACGGATGTGTGTGGTCCTCTATTTGAAGAAGAACTTGAGTTTTGGGGCTTAGATGCCAATCAAGTCGAGCCATGTTGCTGGATGACTTACACTCAGGTAACATACGTTTATATAATTGCGCTCAATATCAATAATACTGATTTTACGATTTCATACGAGTCCGAGGTCTTTTGAGACAGTTTTTAATCAATAGAATGCCTATATTTATGAAAATTTACTAACCTCTGATCGTAATATATTTCCTTCCAACAGGGTAAAACGAGTTTAGAGTTAAAAGACACCTAATCATTCTTTTTTTTCTCTAGCATCGAGACACTCAGGAGACCCTAGCCGTTCTTGATCGTTTAGACCTCGACACAGAAAAGCCGTCGGATGAGGAGGTGGCTCGCAAGTTCGGTTTCGAGGAGGACTATTACAACGGCACCGTCTCCTGGTGGCAGCAGATCAAGCCGCAGATGTGGTCTTTGTTTGACGAGCCCTACAGCTCTAATGCTGCAAAGGTGATAGAAATATACATGCATAGAAATATACAGAATGTAGGTCTGAATACTTTAATTATTATCAAATTACTTACGCCATTCTTCTGTTCCAGATTATCGGTGTGATTTCAGTGTTTTTTATATGCGTGTCTATTTTGTCGTTCTGTTTGAAGACGCATCCAGATATGAGAGTGCCCGTTATTAGGAACTATACAGTGACAACGGCCAATCAAACACAAAGCTGGGCGCTGGACAAAGTGCAAACGAACGCCCACATAGCTTTTTTCTACATTGAGTGCGTGTGCAATGCGTGGTTCACACTAGAGATCCTAGTCCGGTTCATATCCTCACCCAATAAATGCGAGTTTGTCAAATCCTCCGTCAACATCATCGACTACATTGCTACTATGAGCTTCTACATCGACCTCATCCTCCAGAAATATGCTTCCCATGTCGAGAACGCTGACATTCTGGAGTTCTTCTCGATCATAAGAATAATGAGACTTTTCAAATTGACCAGACATTCGTCCGGTCTAAAAATTTTAATACAAACATTTAGGGCGTCCGCCAAGGAATTGACTCTTCTAGTCTTTTTCTTAGTTCTTGGTATAGTTATATTTGCAAGTTTGGTATATTACGCGGAACGTATACAAACGAATCCTCACAATGACTTCAACAGTATACCGCTAGGATTGTGGTGGGCGCTGGTTACTATGACAACAGTCGGGTACGGAGACATGGCGCCGAAAACTTATGTCGGCATGTTCGTTGGTGCTCTTTGTGCTCTGGCTGGTGTAAGTACTTCTATTATTTAAATTTAAGATGATACTTAATGTAACATACTGTAAAGTAAGCCATTGAAAACATATTTGAAATTTTATCTATCATCTTTCGAAGTTGATATAGGTAAGATTTCTTTTCATTAATTTATATCCCTGTATAGGTGCTAACGATAGCTCTGCCGGTGCCAGTTATTGTGTCCAACTTTGCTATGTACTACTCACATACACAAGCACGGGCTAAATTGCCCAAGAAGAGGCGTAGAGTTATCAACGTCGAGCCGGCCAGGCCGCCTCTCAGTAAGTATTTTTATATCTTCTGTAACATAAATGACTTTGAATAATTTTCTGTCAGTCGATTTGTATTATTATCTTTTATTTATTTTATTTTTTTAGATTTGGTAATTATTTTTAATTGTATTTCTTTCTAATAGGAGCCCCAGGGGTACCTGGTGCTCCCGCAGGCCCATTGGCCCCCGGCATGGGCCCTCAGGCCGTCAATAGAAGAATGAATGCCATTAAAACTAATCACCCTAAAGATATGATCGGACCTAACATGGGTAAGGTGTCAAATTGTTATGTCACGTAGTATTAATATGAATAAGAGTATCAAAAAGCACTGTATCTTACAAATAAGCACTTAAAAGAGAGTCTTAAGACTTGAATTGACTAAATTACTGTTTTTAAAATGTAAATACAAATTATATTTTTACTCAAGTTTAACTAAAATTTAAAATAAAATAAACATGAAGATAATTTTCCCACAATCTTATTAAAACTTTGAAGTCCAATTGACATTGAAAATATGCATAAATCAGGATGTATTTGGTCTTCAAAGCTAAGTGTATCACCGGTAGTGATTACGAGTATATCCGGCACTGTATACAGTCAATCACAGGCAGCTGTTAGATACTAACTTAGCAGCAAATTAGTATTGAAGCAATTGGCAAAGCTTACACCAAAATTTCTCCAAATACTAACACTTATTTGCTCCGAAACAGTCTGTATACAATAATCACATAGATAGTTTCAATAATAAATCAGAAAGGCTATAAAATAGGCGATATACTAACAGTTAATATGCAGCAAGTGTAGCTACTAATACTGTCTAGGGACACATCAGACTAACCATAGCTTACGCAGTCTAATCCTTCACAGATGGTGATCGTAGCGAGCTTGAGGCTATGATCCAAACAACACCAAACAACTGCAAAAGAAAAAACATAAACATGCTTTAAAAAGCGACACACACTGGCGCAGATCGCTTCCAGACCAGGCTTATTATATCGCCTGCACATAAGGAATTAGTTTAAGGGAATGCTGAAACTCTACTCATAATTAACCTGACATTCTCATCACCATCATTGCACTATACGGTATCTTCAAGCAGCACGAGAAGCCAACATCTAGGTCCAATCGCTTCATCGGTGGCGAATGGAAGGTTCGGCATAGTTTTGACAATATTATTCGAGAACATTCCTGCAACTTTTAGATGCTTTGCTGCTTGACAAATCAATGTTGTCGTAGATTTTTAGTTAATCTAAATATAACGTAGACTTAACTGTTTAAATTATTACTTGTAGTCTAAACATTTTGTATAGGTCAAAACCACAATTTACTACCAAATGAATAATTTGACAATTTAGTTATTGTTGATACAGATTTTGTTTTTGACCTAAAAGTTTTCGTTGAGTCTATTTAGAAGCAATGAGATTTTTCCAGGAAACAATCACCAAGCATCAGTTTACATTAATTCCAGTCCAGCGGCAACTCAGACACAACTGAACACGGCGGTACACATTTCCAGTTCTACACTAACAATAAATGTACCCACGTTCATCTCAATAATGTGAAAACTATCGTATTTTTAGTACAATTAATATGAGTCAAGAATTCACTTTCAATCTGTATCTAAACCAATATTAGTTTAAGAGAAAAAAATTGCTCAAAAAAAATTGACAACTTTTTCTAATAATAAAATACAAATATTTTATAAGACACAAAAATCTAAGAACATAATAAAAATAAATCTAATTTACCAAGAATCACAAACACACATTTCAATGTTTTCTTATTAAATTACATACGACCAAAGTTTTCACATTTTGACAAAACAATGTTGACTAATAAAATAATTGCTTCTCAATGTATGTCCTTATTACATCTGTTTGTTTGTTATAATATTTTTTCAGTGTCCTCTTTATTCGCTATTTGTATTGTTTTCATTTTATCTTTTTTACATACATCAAAAACGTTTAAAGCTTGGCCTGATAACCTTGGTAAGGGTTATTTTTACCATAACATTTACATGACTCTTTTAAAACTTCCTTGTGTTATTGTTTAATTTCTTGTAATATTTGATATCTGCCTTTAAAGTACACGTTGGCTTTTTATGTGTTTTTCTATATTTTAATATCTGATTTACATAACAGTATTTTATATATTTTGTCAATTTATAAGTTTTAATCTAATAATTTTATCTCGTCAGCATCAGCATGATAAAAAAAGCATGTATTTATTTATTTATTGTATACTATTGTTTATTATTTTATCCTTCCATACTTATTCTTAGATTATCTTAAATATATTAATTTCAAATTTAAAATATCCAGTTTTATTAAGTTTATAGGTTCATTTATGATCATTCTAATCATTTTTATATCCCACAGTCGCAAGCTTAATGCCAGCAATGGATTTATCAGTGGCAGCGCGTCTCACGCCCAGTCCCCGCGACCTCAGTCCAGCGCTGGCCATCGCCATACCGATGATGAAATCAGTCAACATAGTACCAACACAGTGTTTCGATAATATGGCCTTTCATAACGAGAAAGCAGACGAACAAGACACCGACAGCAAAACTACCAGCAGACAAGAATCGACAGAAAGTAATAGTACAGTGAAAGCAAGAAATTATAAAAATGAACTCTTCAGAGAGAATGCAGTTGATAAAATAGATGCTAGAACACCGCTCTTGAGAGATCATAAGATTGAATCACTGGATGAGACTAAACTGAGGGACAATAAAGTTGAAAAAAGAAAATCATCCGCTTCAACATAATGTACAGTTAACAAAATACGATCGCTTATTCAAAAAGAGACCAAATATTTTAATAAATCTCGATATTTAATGCTAAGAATTATTTCTATCGATTGAAAAGCACCGCAACATTTTTCGAACATTTATTATATTGAATAACCTTAAAATGTTTGATATCAATGTAAAATATTAAATGCCACATTTCCATATTCATGAAATTATAACATTTCAACAATGCATTGTTAAGTAACAATTTTTTTGCAACATAATAATTCTTGTCGCATTCCCTGAATCATCACATGATATTAGAAATAAAAAATCAATTTCTTAGTATAATAAAACATGCTAAAAGTGTTCCAAACAAATGTAGAGAACCATAAAAACATTTCTTTCAAAATGTGTTCAAAGCGAGAGAATCATTTTATCCCTTTTTACTCATGCATTTAGCTTTAACATCTAATGAATTAAACTGCACTGCAGGTGTGTTAGGCTTTTAAAATACACATATATGTGAAATTTACGAAGATAAAGACAATCAGCTAATGTTTTAACCATCAAAAGAAAACGAGATATGACCCATTCAGTATAAAAAGGAAATCTTAGTCGCTATCCTGAATAAATTAAGAATGAAAAATGTATATCGCACAGTAGGATTTGTAACACATATCTATATTATCATAATCATTATAATATAATATTAACTTAACCAAAAGGTGACTCAAAGCGTAAGTGATATCAAGGTAGAAGTTTAACATGTCATGGATTTTGTATTGCAGTTAAGGGCGCAATATTATTAGTCGATTTATTCGTTGGACTAACTAGTACAATCTTCTCATAGGGGCTAAGACAAATGAAAATCGCATGCGGGAGTTAAGGCATGCGTGAAAAGGAAACATTTTTTACGACTCATATGCTACGACTAATGATTTTGCCCTGATTAGACTGTTTTAATAATTGTATTTAAAAAGTTGTCTATTCAAAGAAAATGAAAGGACGACGTTTTAACACGAGTGATTTAGTAGTTGCAAACTCATGACTTTTTAAATAATCATCTTTATAGTATGTCTAAATAATTTAGATTATTTTCACAGTTCATTTCAAATTTAGTAGGGATGGGTTGTGTAAAAACAGTCATGAATCTAATCGATTTTCAATTTTTATTCCTATAGAAGTTGGAATCGATAGATTTGTAGTTATAACTTATGAAATAACAAAAAAAAGACTGTTTTCTCAAATTAATAATGACCGTAACAAATAATGAGAGTAAATAAATGTTTATTACTACTACAGCCGTACTTAGTCGAATTGCTATTATTTCTGTCATCGCTAAATTCTCTACACTTTAATCAATACTAGAATTGTCCACTAAATAATAATTTTAGTAAGTTCGATAATTATTTAAACCGAATATCGATAGTTCAAAATTGTTCGCTGTGTGTTTGTTTCGTCACTACGATACCTGTCTACTAAGTATGGCATTTGCCTTCATACAAATTGAATTCGATACTTCATATGCGTCATTTATCAAACTAATCTATCTTATTTAGACAAACTATAGTCACCTTTAGACACTTCAATTGTCATATATTTTATTTGTAGTCAAATTATCTTTACTCTATTATTCATTACCGATATAAAACCACAAGTCACATGTAAATATACATAAATATAGTGTTAAAAGTTTTTATATTTCAACAAATAATCACTAGAAACATATCATCAGCACTTTCTCATTCTTGATGTCGTACTGTTACACGATGTATAAATTACATAATTTAACTATAAGAGTAGATAGCGTTAACAAAATTGTGTTTAAATTATAAAGCTCGTGAATAGTTTAACCGACTTAAAATGTCCAAGTAAATATAATTTTGAATAATTTTAGACGTAGTTACGGATCGAATGCTAAACGAGTAGGAATTACAGTCACAAAATATTTTATGTTAAACTCAAGCAAGCATACATTTTCCACTAGTTTTATTATGAGTTTTTATTAGCTATATATTGAAATATATCTTTTATTAGCAAACATATATCATTTAAAATTAATTAAAAGAAATGTCTAAATTAAGCGGGACCCTTAATGTTTTATTAAGAATATTTACTGTTAAGTTTTTATTAGCCCAATAACTGGAATAATGCTTCAATATTTTATTTACATAGATGTGTAATCTATAGATGTTTAATCCAGAGCACAATAATGAGGCAAAATAAGTGCTTCTTGGGGTGAAAATTTATTCTCTATTAGACGTCAAACTTGTATGAAATTTAGATCTATAGACTACACATATATGTTTATTTTATTAACGCATAAAATGCAATGAATGTAATATAATTTAGATAGCACACAGTTTTGTTTACGTGGTTTTTATATGTATTTAATTTAGCTATAAATCTGCTTATGTATAACGAAAAACGTACCAATTAGTTACGTATATTGTAATAATGCTTGATCGATGTTTGTTTCGTATTTTTCTATGAAATTCACACAAGTCTGTTCAAAGCTTTTGAGGACCACGTAGAAGGATTATTCACTAAAAAATCAACAATAAAGATCTTGAATCGTGTAGTTTATTTTTAATTAATTTTATAGTTAAGTTTAAGTTTTTATTTTATTGTACATTTTATTGTAAGTTAAACAAGAACGAAGTTACTCCATCCGAGACACTGCATCAAATTAATTAATTTTTTTTTTATAAAAACGATATAGTTTCTTAAACAGGTATTTTTTTCATATACTTTAAGAAACACAAAACAGTTTTAATACATGTCTTGTTGAAATAAACTTAAATGGGTATTGTTGATTTTTATTATGAAGTTGTTCAACTTACAGGCATTTTTGGGTAAATTTCTACCTCGTGGAAGCGTGGTATTCCAATAAAATTGTCTTAATAATTGATATATTTGTAATTCTCAATATTACAGTCCATATTTTCAATAAACAATTGTACATTGTTACGATATATTTTGATTAGTATTGGTAACTAACTTCGACCACGTGGCCGCGTGCGCAACCTATCGCGCCAATCGAACGCCCAGAATCAAGATGGCCGCCCCACACGTGCTCGGTGTTCGTTACATACCACGCCAATTTTGTTATTATTCATAATTTCAGTACGGCAGTGTCTTACTTGGAGCGTTGTCTTGATATATCATAAGGCTTACAGTGAATGAACAGGGCTTGTATTTTATTGTATAGCATTCTATTTAAAATATACAATATATTATACAATTATGAACAATACGAGAAAACAAAATTATTTGAAAGATTGTTCATTAAACATGCAAAAATAAATATATTGCGTTTTTATTCTACATCCCAGATAACAATTATAAAAAGGAAAATCTTCATAATTAAAATATATGTGTACTCTGAGACACTAATTGGTCCCTAAGGAAGACCTTTAGTGTACAATCCTCATTCTAAATATACTCTAAGTGAGCATTGATTAATAAATCATATATTTAATTCTTGAATCCAGGTCTTTAGAAATTACCAGATGAAACCTAGATCTGAAAATAGACTAGTCAACTTGTTACTAAACTTTCAGATAGCTGTCTAGTTCACTTTCCACGGATATAGACATTGTTACTTGAACTTATTTAACTTTAGCGAGCTGTTCTGTGTAAATGTATGCTTAAGTTACGCCCTGATTTATTTCGTTATAATGTTGAAATGTTTAGTAAATCACTAAGCTCAAAGTTACTCTGAAATAATACGAAACTGATATTTGTTAATCAAATTAATCTATACAAATAAAATTTAAACACAATCATTTTTGTTTTATAGGATGTAAGCAATCACAGCATATTTTGACTATTTTTTTTAATAAACACCCCTACTTCCGACAATCTATAGGGTATGTATTTTCACGCTATTTAAATTAGAATGCAAAAAATGGAAAAAACCCCAATGGGAGTATAGACCAAAAACTACAAACCAATAGGAGCAAAGAAGAAAGATTGGTATAGTAATAGTTAGTCTATGGCATAGTTCATTTTAGCGTTTGAAGTTGGACATATGCGAATGGATTTTATTGGAATGTAAACCTTATATTACTAATATTACAAATGCAAAAGTTTAGATGGATTTTTAGCCATCTTCTGAACGGATCTCGATGAAATTCAGCATAGAAGTAAAGGATAGTCTGGACGGGTACATAGGCTACTTACTTTTGTTTTATTTAATTCAACATGAACGGAGTCACGGATAAAAGCTAGTATAATAATTATCGTTTTCATAATATGGGAAGTTGCACAGGAATAGTTAGTTACTAACAAAAAGCAATAACCGAGTTTTTCCAAAGAATAAGAGCATCCATACTTGATATTCATGAATACTCAATGGAGACCAGCGTTATTCAATTTTTATGTAATAGAATTCATCCGTGGAAACCACTTTAGCGTTACAAGATTCACTTATATTATGAATGGAAAGTGGCGGGAATTTTTTATTTATTGAAATAAGATCCATTAGCATTGCGACATTTGGAGAATATCTATTGAATATTAACACTTGCTAACTGTTCACAGTTTGATAATCACTAGATACAGTCTGGGAAATTTTACAACCATTTACATAAATATATCAAGACTATTATGTACTCTGTCTGGTGGTCTCAACTCATTAGATTATCTAAAAGCTAGGTAAAAGCCAAAAATGTTTTTTTTTTAATCTAGCTATTGCTCGCGACTACTCCTGCGTGAAATCTTAAATTATGTAGCCTATGTTAGCCAGTGATAATATAGCTTTTTAATAGAATTTTTGGAAATCAGTCCAGTAGTTTTGGATTTATTTAAATACATACAAAAATCCAAAAATGCAAAACTTTCCTCTTTATAATATTAGTATAGGATGGTATTTTAAGAAAAACAGCAGTGAGTCTTCTCGTATTGTTAATATTTTTGTCAAATATCTCATATCGTAAAATTAGCCCTTACGCGAGCATTTCGCAGCGGGCGCGTGCAGTTCAATTTGTAAGGGTGGGCCCACAGCCCCTGCGCACTCAGCCGTAAATAATGCCCTTTGTTGAGCCCTTTTTGTGTCGTTTTACGCAATTTGAATATTCACTTATATATTTATATGGCTTATGATCTATTTACTTTGGTTTATTTTGAAGCTTTTCATGAAAAAAAACGATAGGAATATGGTTATTACATGACTTATTTGAGTAGTTGGTTAAATTTAGTAGTAATAAATCCGTATTTCGTATTCACACAAGCGTATCTACTTATTTGTGGTTCATATGAAGGCTTTATGAAAATGTTAACATAATTAAACGGACCCTTGTCACTCTGACGTCAACGGACTCAGTCTGAAATGATTCTAATGAACGATACAGAATTTTCTCTTCATTGTAATGTTCTTGTTTATGTCTTACTAATTGTAATTTTTTTATGAATGGTCTACGTATTACCGAAACAGATAATTTGATCTCGCTGACATTTGCCACAGGTTTAGAACACAATCTTGAACATACGCTCCTTATTTAGTATAGTAAGTAAGTATTATAGTAAGTATTTGATAATTTATAGTTCAATCAGTACAAAAATATCGGATGTATTATAAACTAGCTTTCGCCCGCGACTCCGTCCGCGTGGAATTACTAAAAACAAAAGTGAATAGCCTATGTGTTCTTCCAGACTGTCCTCTACATCTATACCAAATTTCATTGAAATTCTTACAGCCATTTAGGTTACAAACTCTAAGAAACATCCATCCATCCATCTAAACTTTCGCATTTATAATATTTAGTGAGAAGTAAGATAGAAAGATTAAAATTATATACATATGTAATAAAGCTTTTATCAAAGTTACTTAAGTTATCATTTATCATATAGTTTATTTGACTTGGTCTATCTTGATTTACTCATTTTGCTTTGACATGTCTTTTAACTTTTAATTTTATAATATTTACCCTAATTGGAGTCGGTTAGATCACTAGCGACTAGTAATTAAACGTGAGGAAAACGAGATACGTTCGTTTACGGTTTAAAAAATATGAACACGTTAAACAACATTTCTCATTAAAGGTCTAAAAATAAAACAGATAGAGTACTCGACAGCTTGACATACTTTTGAACGGGGATTGTGAAGTTTACATAGAAT